CATTTGACCACTTTCTAAAATGGCATTGTGTATTTCCCGGAATATGCCTGGAAATATCCACACCAGTCCACACCACCAAAATACTAAACTGTACACCACTGCCCTGAGCTGAATCTTAACCGAAACAATGCAATGCAAGTACATTACCGTTTTACTTACTTGTTTTGGAATGAATAATACTGACAATGGTTTTAATATGATACACATCTGCAGGTGGGAAGCAGAACCCAACGAAACCACCACAACATGAAGCTGACAAGCAGGAAAGTTCAGTTGAGAATCTACTCCATGATGCCTGTAAGCACGGGGACCTGGGTAAAGTGAGATGCATCTTGTTCCGGGCTGTGGTCGACGTCGACTGCAGAGATGAGAGAGGGACGACACCACTAATGCTGGCTGCACGAATGGGGCACAGAAGAATATTTTCCTTTCTTATAAGAAAAGGAGCTAATGTATCACACGTTGATGAATTAGGCAGAAACGTCCTGCACTTGGCCTCCAGAGGACATGTGGCTATGGTGAAGGAAGTATACGTAGTCACGCGATATTGTGTTGATGTCAACAGTAGAACATTGGCAGGGGAAACAGCCTTGATGATAGCTGTCTATTACGGAAACAGAGATGTGGCCGAGTTCCTCGTCAGTAAGGGTGGTAATGTATCATTAGTAGACAAATTGGACAAAACCATTCTACACTGGGCTTGTAAAGGTAGACATGTGGAAATGGTGAAGTATGTAATCTCAAACTACAGTATTGATGTTAACAGTTGGTAGTAGAGGCAAGGCGAGCCCCCTGAAAGAGGTTGCATTGAAAGGACACAAAGACGTTTTTGATGTTCTCGTGAGTATGGGGGCTAATGTGTCACAAGTAGATGAAGATGGCGACAACATCCTGCACGCGGCCTGCAGAGGGGGACATGTGGGTATGGTGGAGTATCTTGTCTCAAAATGCAGTATTGATATTAACAGCAGGGGACAATACGGAGCGAGCCCTCTAATGAAGGCTGGATATGCAGGACACAAAAACATTTTTTGATGTTCTCATTTGTATGGGAGCTGATGTGGCACAAGTGGATGACTCTGGCGATAACATCGTGCACTGGGTCTGTAGAAGGAGACATGGGAGTATGGTGAATTATCTATTCTCAAACTACAGCTTTGATATTAACAGCAGAGGCAGCACGGGGAAAACTCCCCTAATGTACGCTTCATTATTAGGTAACAGAGACGTTTTTGATGTTGTCGTGAGTTTGGGAGCGAATGTGTCTCAAGTGGATGATCACGGCGAAAACATTCTTCATCATGCCTCACATCGAGGACAAACGAAAATGGTTCAGCATATCATATCTCAAGACTTTGTGAACATTAACTGTAGAGGAAAATATGGAAGGACACCATTGATGTGGGCAGCGTGGTGTGGACATAGAAAAGTGTTTGGTCTGCTTGTGAGTGAAGGTGGTCTAACCGAGATGGTGGATGCTGAGGGTCACACAATCCTTCATCTGGCCTCTTTAGGTGGACGTGTGGATATGGTGAAGTACATTCTCTCACAGAACCTGGCCGACATTAACGCCATCGACAAGAATGGGAAAACAGCAGCCATGATAGCAAAGCGAAAGGCCCACTTTGAAGTGTATAACCTTCTGGTTTCACGAAGCCGTCCACCAATATAAATGCAATCGTAAATTTGGAACAGTGAACAGTGACTCGTGTTCTGCCAAAACCCTTTCTGGTGAACAATACTGATCATCACTGGCTCATGTATTTCTATAACTAACCATATTGTAAAAACGCATTGGTGTAATCAATAAAATGCTATGAAATTTGTTCCCATCTAATGTGTCTCTTCTTTGTATGTAACATCTAGGCTGTCACAGGCTGAGGCCAGGTACAGCCCATTCAAACAAAGCTGAAGTCTATTTGCTTACTCCCAATTCCCCCATGCAAAAGGGACCTGATGACATTTCTGTGAATGGCAGGTTTCCACCGTCAACTTTGTCCTAATGTTAGACTTGTGGCAAAAAGTTCGGACTTAAACAAGACTGGTTTGTGATTACCTGAAGATCGGGGAGTGAATCTGAAAAATGTAGAATCCCTTATATTTAGACTGTTTACTTATGTATTCTAGTGCAGTTAAAATTGCGTTTTATTCAATTCGTCTCTGAATGGAAGAGCTGTGTACGTGGTAATCCAGTGAGAGTGGCGCTGGCACCCGTGAAGATCTGGGTTAGAATTTGTCTTTAGCATCCCATGCATGACGTAAGAGGCGACTAACGGGGATCGGTCAGGTCTGTCTCGATGACACGTCATTGTGTCGATGCTAATGATGTTGATCACGGGATAATCTTCTCCAGGTTCGTTTAATAACAGACCACCGCCATATAGTTAGAAGATGCTGAATGCGGCGTTAAACAACAAACAAGCAAAACTCTAAATCGGCTCAAAGAACATCATTTTGGAAACACTGAGATTTTGTCCCAGTGCACAAACCGCCTCCGTGGTGTAGTGGTTAGAGCGTCCGCCCGGAGAGCGGAAGGTCGCGGGTTTGATCCCCGACCGCGTCATACCAAAAGACGTTAAAATATGGTACTTGTTGGTCCCTGCCTGGCGCTCGGTGTTAATGGGTACATCAAGGACTGGTCGGCTTGGTGTCAGTATAATGTGTCTGAGTGGGGTATTCATGCTTCACTGCGGCATGGTATCGCAGTGGGAGAGCACTATAAAACCAGCTTCAGTCTGGGCTAGTACAAGCAGCCGCACATACACATACACACGCATGCACGTCGTCATATGAGCGAACTATTCTCAAGCACGACGTTAAACCCAATTTCACCTCACCTCACCTCTCAGTGCACAAAACTTTAAATTCATGCAGAGGCATTGCAAATTGCCGTGCAAAGTGCTTCTCAGACATATCAGAGGAGGCGATTGCAACAGGGCTGAAGACTTTGAGTGTAACATCTGTGAAAAGGTTAACTGGGAGAGAGTGAGTTTGTTTGTTCGCCGCTATGAGCAATATTGCAGCATCATAACGGAGGGGAACACCGAAAATGGGCTTCACACATTGTACCCATGTGGGGAATGGCACCCGGATCTTCTGCGTGACTTTAACCATTATGTTACCCCACCGCCCCGGTTCACTAGGAAAGAAGGTGATAGAAATATAGAAATACAACACTTACCTGTTCACGTTTGCATTCTCAAAGATCCCTTCTTCAATCAAAACAAGGTGTTTCAACATTGGGGTTGTGTATATACCAAGACATTTGTGATGTTTGTAACAACAAATAAGGACACGCACGGATTCTCAGGTTGACCGCATTTGGAGAAAAATGGGCATAATCTGTCATGATAAACATGCGCAAAACACTGAATTGCAAATGGAAATAAACGGAATTGTGCCACGAAGTGATATACATGAAATAAACCAGATTTTTTAGAATGTAATATATATAATCTCAACAATAAAATACCTTTCATTTCTGCCGCTAATATCGAACTTGAAACATATCTCCTTTCCGACTGCTTTCTTTTCCTCCTTGGCAGTTGGTGTGACCACAGTGGGATCTTACATTAACTAAATTTTAAAAATCTGAAACTAACCAAATTATTTTCCATCAATAATATTATGAATTAAGAAACATTTATGGCAGTCATAAATCTATCTTTAGAATACGTGTTATTTTAATGTTCCCCTAAATTTATCAATAATCGCCAACGTCTGAAGGGATTATGTAAATCCAGCTAGGGCCCATGCAGGTAGCAAAAGTACTGTAAGTCCCCATGGTCCCTAGTATAGTGATATACCTTCAGTTGCTGGCGATACTCAGCCCATTATTATATTGTCCTGTCCTGATGAAAACACAATTTTAGAAATAGATGCTAGTTTTAATTTACTCATTCAGCCTGAAGACAAATCTCCCTTCAAAATGTATATTCTGCTGTTCTCTAAAGAGGAAGTGTCTGGCCAGCACCATACTGGACCAGGCGGATTTCGTTCAGTTTCTGCTCTGTCCTAAAAAAGGCAACATCTCAAACGTTTGAAACTGGACACGATCTTCTGAAGGTGTTCATGCCACCCTTCTAGACGGTTTTACGTGGGCCGGCTTGGACATTTGAACATTCACATTGGAGCTCCTGAGATCATTTCTGAAAGTTAGTCTCTTTCAATACTTTTGTAGAATGTACATATTCATTTGTTGTGTACAGATATTGTGTTTAGGCTTTGATAATTTGGCTGCTTTGTCATATTGTAAATATTGAGTACTTTATGATAACTAATTGTGTTGCAGAATGTAATGCATTATATGTCTAATTATTTACAAACAGTATTCAATAATTCAGTAAGTTAAACATCAGTGTTAAACTTAATCTTTAAGTAATATACAGCTGATATATGAATGGGTAAATGTATGAATGCATGAATGTATAATGTATAAAAGTATGAATGCATAATGTGTGAATGTAAGAATGCCGCAGGGATTTACCATTATATATATTTCAAATGTTTCTCATTAATCAACAATAACTAAACGTATTTGTTTGTAGTGTTATTGCTGTCGTGCATTGTCATCAATGAAGTGTTGAGGCAATGTATATGAAATAGATTAGCAATAATGATATTTTGTAAATGGTCATATTTAAAGATGATATTAATGATTGATATTATCTATCAGCATATATTTATGTTTTATCTAAAGAATGTTTTAATTGGTTCAGGGTTTTTACATGAACTATCAGAAATAAAGGGCCATAATGCGAACATCACCGTGTCTGTTCTAATGATGAAACAGTGCCGGTTACATAATGAAGCTATTGTTTTTCCCGTGTGACATCACTTGATTAATGGTGCATACAGCTTACAAAACCACCAGACATTGGTGGAGGGCGTCAAACAATAAACGTGATATGTACTAACAATGAATGAGCTCTTGACAACTCCTGGTATCAATTCCAAAATATCAGTCATTTAACAACGTTTGTGTAGATTAGATGAGGAAAAGTGGTTTTCAGAGCTTTGGGACGACAAAGGCAAGGTTAACGGTAATAAGTTACGCACTTACAGGTTGTTTAAAAAAGATTGTAGACCAGAACTGTATGTAAGATATATTATGTCTAGACATAGGAGAAGTAATCTAAGTAAATTACGCTGTGGTATCTTACCTCTTAATATTGAAAATGGACGTTATAGCAAACCCCCCACACCCATAAATCAAAGATTATGCCCCTTTTGTGACTCTGTAGAGTCTGAAGCCCATTTTCTTTTAAATTGTGCTTTTTACCATGATCTTAAAAGTAACTTTATAGATCAATTTAGTTTTAGCCCAGATGATAGTGATCATCTGAAATTTATTATGATAATGAATACTACTGAAATCAAGGTTCGTAAACGTTTAGCTGATGCTATTAACGATATGTTCCGTAGAAGGCAGTTACATTCTTAATATATTTTACCAATGTACTGTTTTATGTATGTCATGAATACAATCGTCCAGATTGTATATTGTACATTTTTTTAGTTAAATTATTTTAGTAGTGTTTCGTAAGCCAATGTTATGGCTGGGTGATATGTGTTGTCTAGACATATGACATATTGTTTACCTGTAACATATCACGTGTGACACTTTAATAAAATATTTCTGTCTGTCTGTCAACTCCGTCAATTGTTTGTAGAGTTCATCAAGTGTTTGTAGAGGCCGTTGTATCACGTGACACCTACCAACTCGAATATGACGCGCACAGTGAGATTCCACATTGTATTGTGACACAGAGTATTATGACTGGCAGATGGATACGAAATGGATGCACGTGTGGTAAGTACGGTGCTTAAGTGACCTATTGGTTAGAATATACACGTGGATTTTCTAACAACGCTTGCAACAGAGAAACTTCACGCAAAAGAATTTAGTAACTTTCTAAAAAACCTACGTGTGAAAGTTGAAGCTTGTTTGATGGTAACTGTGATATTTTGTTTTTGGTTTTGTTACAAAGAAACAGAAATCAATAATTAATATTGACATGCATCCGATATATTCAAAAATAATATGTACTACTCACAAGGTGTGAAGGGTCAAAGGTAGATTTCAGCATTTAATTTAATTATGCAAATTAATTAATTAGCAAACGTATAAAACAGAATTTCCAAGCATGAATATGGTCAGAATTGGTTTATTCGGTCCTAAGGCTTAGCACTGTGTGCAAATCATATGCTCTATGCAAACTTAATGATTGTAAGCATCCTTCAGTACTAGCCCAGACTGAAGCTGGTTTTATAGTGCTAGCCCACTGAGATACCATGCCGCACTGAAGCATGAATACCCCACTCAGACACATTATACTGACTCCGAGCCGACCAGTCCTTGTTGTACCTATTAATGCCGAGAGCCTGGCAGGGACCAACAAGTACCATATTTTTGTCTATAGCATTGTGCAATCAACAGACATCATAACATGTCATGTGTACAAGTATCACACCTGCCTGTCTTTGTAATTACATAATGTGACAGAGACAGAATTCAGGTCTACGTTTATGGTGTATAGCCTGATAGGTGTTAAGTTCAAATTGCATGTGGTCAGTGATCGAAGTTGTGTGTTGCATATTGTCATTAGCAGACAGGAAGGCAGACAAATAGGTGTCAATGAAACAGACATTGAGTTTTGTCTGTGGCAGAGGCATATCTATATCACAGTTAGCAATTCTGACAATGCTAAATAATTTATTTGACACTGACCTAATTTCTAGAAATTGAAAGCAATGTGTACGCTGGTGAGATTCCACACACAGCATTTCCACACATACGCGTTGGTGAGGTGAGGTGAGGTGAAATGGGGTTTAACGTCGTATCTAAGAATATTTCGGTCATATGACGACGTACACGCGTGTGTATGTGTGGCTGCTTGTACTAGCCCAGACTTAAGCTGGTTTTATAGTGCTAGCTCACTGAGATACCATGCCGCAGTTAAGCATGAATACCCCACTACTACCTCCTAGCGGACCAATCCTTGTTTTACCCATTAATACCGATCGCCAGGCAGGGAACAACAAGTACCATATTTTAAGGTCTTTTGGTATGATGCGGTCGGGGATCGAACCCGCGACCTTCCGCTCTCCGGGCGGACGCTCTAACCACTACACCAAGGGAGGCGGTTTCTAAATTCAGAAAGATCTGGAAAGTATTGTGCCTTTAGATCCAGCAAGGGGCTGTGGCCTGCTGTATTTAGACCTGTACAAAAATTAGACAGAAAGAGTACTGCACGGTGCTGGTCTACTATCTGAGAGTGAGTGAGTTTTAGTTTTACGCCGATATTGGCAATATTCCAGCAATATCACGGCGGGGAACACCAGACATGGGCTTCACACACTAACTCAGAGAGTATTGTAGACCATCTAGACATGTTCGTGTAAATGTAATTGGAGCCGTCCATCTAACTTGACATCTCAAGTCGCGGGAAGACAAGCATATTGAATAATGATCATTATACCCCGCGGTCTGGGCCAGTTTTGTATGATGGATTACTCTTGCTTGGATGTACATATTAAATATCAACATCACGGTTAGAATTGCCATAATCATTGCCAGGGCTGTGCAATATAACCGGTTTACCGGTATTTACCGGTTCAGACATGAAAACGATACGTATTGCGATACGCTGATCGAAAACCGGTATTTTTACTTCCATTCGGAAAACGTCGTAACACTCGGAAATCTTCGGATATTTCCTTGTTACATTTGTGCCAAATATTATTCACATTTTAATTTTATCATGATTAAAAGTTGTTATTAAAGCTTAATCAAGCATAGTAAGTTTGTTGTGTTTTTGCTCTATAAATCAAGCAGTAACGCGATTATAAGTAGTGTTTTGTTTAAAAATATGTCATGCAATATATTGCAATACATATCGCAATACATGCTTTCGCATCGCAATATATCGCAATATGAATATTTCCTGCAATACCCACCCCTAATCATAGCCATTGTTTTATAATACCTTTGAATTTTTATAGCAGTCTAGATCCTACTGTCATAGTGGTACTTTTGTAGTGATTTATATTCATTTGTGAACCGTATAAATCCAGCTAGGGTCCATGCAGGTAACAAGGGACTGTTAGTCCCCATGGTCCCTAGTATGGTGATCTACCTTCGGTTGCTGGAGATCTATAGCCTGTTTTTTTATATTGTACTGTCCAAATTTGAATTCAGTTTTAGAGATAGATACTAGTTTTATTTTTTATGTCTGTGATATTCTAGTTGGTTTTACTGCCCTTCGTTCACAGGCTTTTAATATTTACTATCAATAATTATAAACCTATAATTTGACATGTATTTACATGTATTTATGATGAAGTTACAAACTTGTTTTAGTCACGATATTGCTGAAATATTGCCGATGTGACTCACTAACACGCTCACTCATTGGTGAACCTAGTCAATTGTAGAATATCGTATTTAAATACATCACATATCTCTTTGGTTTGCTGGTTTCACAACTGTTTTTCTATGGGCTGATTCCCGTTTTGTTCAGCAACAATGTAGGGAACAAACACTCAAGGGAAATATATTTTATGGACGAAAATGTGTATATGTCTAGCCGTCCATTCACCTCATGAAGGAGCAAGCTTAAGCACATGCTCTGAAATGTCTTTTTGCACAAAGATGTTCACATCTATACATTTTCTCCCACGATATGGCTGAAATATTGCCGATGTGGCGTAAAATTGTAACTCACTCACATTTTCTCCCGCTGACACCCGGTGGTATGTAGTGAGTGAGCATGGCGAGTATGATTATTATTTGTGTCCTATTTCATGGTGTTTCAGATATATAGATTCAACATACCAGACCAGTCAGCCACAGAACAAATAATCCGTAATCGTGAATATGAAAACCAACAAAAGCCGCACAATGATAGACATGGTATTGCCTCTGTATACGTCAGACTCAACGGATGGCAACGTGGAACGAGGTGTCCAGAACACGCATGTGCAACTGACTTCAGATTATGCTGAGGAGCATCCTCAGATTGAGTCTCGTTCATCTGTTACAGATGATGATGATGATGATGATGATGATGATGATGAATGTAACTTTATAGGTATTCGGAACAACCACAACGAAGTGAAACTCACTAAGGCATGTGATGACTTAGCATCAAGTGCAGGAGAGAGGTGTTGTGTTTCTCCTCCAAGAATACAAGAAGGAATAGAACAAGTCTCCGTTTTGGGGCCTCCGAATCAAGGTGTAAGGCGGAGCTCATTGTTTAGAAACATTACCGACTGTAAGGTCGAGGCGGTAAAACACTGTCTCCAAACAAGCACAGAAGCAGGTCAATATCTAGAGCCATGGTTATTTGTAGCCGCTAAAGCAGGCAACGTACAAGTATTCAGATTGTTGATGAACTGTGGTTTTAATCCAAGCAAGAGACTAAGATTTGGACAAGCACCTATGCATTATGCAGCATACTATGGCAATGTGAATATCGTCCAGTTCCTGATACGCAGTGGTCAGTCTGTGGACCTAAAAGACGCAATGTCCAACACTCCAATCCATTATGCTGTCGATACACGTCGGGACAATAGGAACATGATTGAGTTTCTTGTCCATTGTCACATGAATGAAAAGATGGTTTCAGATTTCCTTAATATCAAAAGCGAATCTGGGGCATCACCACTACTAATAGCCATTTGGAGAAGGAATTTTGAGCATGTTAAATGTCTGTGTGAATTGGGTGCCGTACCAAGGTTTGATGACTGTCACATGGCAGTGCTTAAACACGATGTGGAGATTCTTGTGTACCTTTTGCAGAGAAATGCGCCTTTGACAGAAGATGGAGGTGCTTGCATAGCATCTGGCTCCCATTCTGAGATTGGGAACAGTAACGAAGAAGACAGTTTATTACATTTGGCATGTGAAATAGAAAATCCGAACGTGAGGTATCAGATAGTACGCACTCTTTTAGCAAATGGGTATGAAATCAGAAGAAACTTCCGATGGATATGTGACTCCGACATTTCAGTGTGTCAGAAGCACAAAGGGAAGACATTGTACAATTACCTGAGAACATGCATATCAAGTGTCCACGCGCTGACATATCTAGCCTCTGTCAAGATCCGACAACACATGGGCCAGTCTTTACCATCAGTTGTGGACAGGCTTCCTGTTCCTGAACCAGTGAAAGACCTCATCAAGCTGACTGACACTTATGGTTGCAACCAAGGGATGGTGTAAATCCAACTTGGGTCCATGCAGGTATCAAAGGTACTGTAAGTCCCCATGGTCCCTAGTATGGTGATATAACTTCAGTTGTTGGCGATCTATAGCCTATTTTTATATTGTGTTGTCCCCTATAGTTAGAATGTTTTAGATTTACTTACCAGTTTTACATGTATATCTGCGATATTCTAGTTGTTTTACTGTCCTTCGTCGATAGGTTTTTACGTT